CTCCTGTGTGTTGGCTTGTCACTCTAGGGGGCGTGGCTATCACCCATGTGACTTCATCCCGGCAGCATCCCCTTAGTGGGCGGGGCCAGCCGTCCATTGCTGCTGTATTGGAATCCTGTGCTCTGCCCTCCAGGGAGTCTCTGCAGGCTGACGCTGCATTGCTGCTGCCGACTTGCCACCCGACTCTTCCTCTGAGCTGCGGGCATCTGTAAACAGACACAGGCTGCCCGCAGCTCAGAGGAAGATCCGGTTTCAGGCAGATGCGGCTGCCGTGGATCGCACTTACCAAGGACCTCGCAGCCGCATCTGCGAGAAAATTTGACAGTGCCGGTGTCAGCAGAGTGTCTTGTGTACGGGTGCCCGCTGGCTGGACACCCGTACACAAGACGCCAAAACCGGACGGGTGGCAACCCTAGATAGTAGGCATGTTTAAATGAACATGAACAACATCCACATTTCAGTAAAAGATTAAATGAGTTTGCACAATCTAATATGGCGATTTTACATGCTTTTTTTTTTTTCAAATAAAGTGGATTCACTAAAATGTTTCTTGTGCTAATGACATCATAAGCAATTAGCTTTGTCATAAAATATGGACATGCAATTATACCAATTTTCTATTTGATCATCAATTTTACTATACTAGATTAATACCTTATGACATGAATCCTACTTTTACTTTTGTTTAATAATTATCAATATCTCTTAAACCCGTGGTTCTCAACTGGTGGGTCGCCGCGTGCCTTCCGCTATGCTAGGTGAGAGGCTCCTCAGTCTCCCCCTAGCGCAGCACTGTTAGTGCTCACGCTAAACAGCCATTCAAAATATGCAGCCCGGCGCAGTGTCAGTTTGAGGCAGGGTGGGCTGGGGGTATGGCTGTGAGGGAGCTCCATCCAAACGTGCATGGCTTAGAGCTCTTTTGCATGCCATGTAGAGGTGCTTGGACTGTAGTGATGTCACATTCTGGCTACCAGAACCTCTGCAGGGCATGCAAGGGAGCTGTACAAGCAATGCATATATACACTGAGTGGCCAGATTAATATGACCACCCCATCAGTACTTCGTTGGGCCACCTTTTGACCTTCAATACTGCAGTGATTCTTCTTGGCATTGACTCCACGAGATGTTGAAAAGTGATGTGAGGAATCTGACACCATGCCTGATGAATAGCACTGTCCAGTTCTGAGAGATTTGATGGTTGTGGAACCAGCTGCTTGATGTCTCTTTAAACTTCGTCCCACAAATGCTCAATTGGATTGAGATCTGGCGATTGTGGGGGCCACCTAAGCAAGGTAAAGTCTCCCTCATGTTCTTGAAACCACTCCTGCACAATACGAGCAGCGTGGCATGGCGCATTGTCTTGTTGGAAGAAGCCATCTCCATTGGGATACGCCATCAACATGATAGGATGAACTTGATCAGCAACAATACTTTGGCATGTTGTGCTATTCAGACGTGGTTCCACACGAATTACAGGGCCCAAATCATGCCAGGAAAACATGCCCCAAACCATAACACTGCCCCCACCAGCTAGAAGGGTTGTACTCATGTATGTGGGGTGCATGCTTTCATGCAGTTTCCACCAAAATCTCACTCTGCCATCTGCATGATGCAACTGGAAACGTGATTCATCGGACCACATGACTTTTTTCCAATGCTAGACTGTCCAATCCTTGTGTTCCTGTGGGAATTGGAGATGTTTTATCTTGTTAACTGCAGACAGCAAAGGTGTTCCAACAGGCCTTTGGCTTCCATATCCCATATGATGCAGTGTACAGTGAACAGTGCGTTCAGAGATCATTTGAGAGGATCCCATATTAAGATCTGCAGTAATTTGATGCACTGTTGCCCTTCTGTTGTCTTGTACCAGTTTTGCCACTCTCCGTTCTGCCCTAACATTGACTAGTCGCTGACGGCCACAATTCGCACGTTCAGACCCAGATTTTCGGCTGACAGTCCAGTCTTTAAACACTTTAACAACAGCTGCTCTTGGACATTTAACGAATTATGCTGTTTTGCTGATACTCGCGCCATGGCTCAGAGCGTCAACAATTATCCCACGTTCAAAGGCTGTTAAATCACGTTGTTTACCCATATCTTCAGAAACAAATCACTTCTACTGTTGCGGGAAACAACCTGCTTCCCTATTTATGAAATGTAAGTTTTTTTTATTCAGTTTTGTATATTTACAAAAATATAGGTCGACTATAGTGATAGTTCACAAAGCAATTGAATCATCATAAAAAAAAAAACATATCTAGGTGATTAATTCAATAATTTAACAATAATATAATAATAGAAAAAAAGAGGAAAAAAAAAAAAAAAAGTGTGATGGGGGAATAACTTGTCGCCATTTTAATGCTATAAGACATCTTGCTACAGTGAGAACATGATTGATAAGTTTAGTAATAGGTTTTGGGAGATGTGGAATGGGGAGCCCTAAAAGTAAATGTATAGGGTCTTCTGGTATAATCCGATCTACTACCGGTAGTTTTTGGAGCAACGTCGTTATATATTTCCAGAAGGGCCATATCTTAGGGCATTCCCAGAATATATGAAGCAGATCACCCCTTAATATCAAGCATCTCCAGCATACTGATGGGACCTGCTTCCCTATTTATAATGGTCTGGCCCTCTAGCAACTTCAGCGCGAAATCATAGCTAATTTGCCTACAAACGTCGGGTGGTCATAATAATCTGGCCACTCGGTGTAAATGGAGCTGGCCACACTGGCTCCCAGGCTGAGGATCCACTCCAGTTCTCGTAAGTTAGGGAGACTGGGTGGATCTTAAAAAAATAAATACATTTTTTTTGGATCGTGTATGCGTGAGAATATGTGTGCGAGATTGTGTCTGTGGTTTGTGTGCGTCTGTCAGTGTTTTTGAGGGCATGTTCACACTAGTACAGTGCGTTAATTGCACAGTCCCAGGCGATTAATGCACAATACCACTTAATTGCACCCACTGCGTGTTCTGGTGCTGGAGGTGCATTGCCATTCATTTGAATGGCACTCGAAACACACCTCCTGCTCATAGTTCGATCGCCCGCACTGGAATGTATGGTACCAGGGGCAGGGAGTCCTCGAAACATGTTAGATTTTTTGTGGGACTTCCTTTGAAACAAACATGCACACAAACACTATAAATTCCAGACCATCCCATACAGAAAATCCTGGACTAGGTATACAATCAATCATACATACAGCCCTGCACTTTACAAACACATGTACACAGTCCTCCATTACATGCATAAACATACACACAAGCATACATAAAATCTGCACCACACATAAATACATAGCCCTGCACTAATAATATACACTATATTGTCAAAAGTATTGGGACACCCCTCCAAATCATTAGATTCAGGTGTTCCAATCACCACAGGTGTATAAAATCAAGTATCTAGGCATGCAGACTGCTTCTACAAACATTTGTGGAAGAATAGGTCGCTCTGAGGAGCTCACTGAATTCAAGCGTGGTACTGCGATAGGTTGCCACCTGTGCAATAAGCAACTGGGAACAGGTCACACAAAATGACAGCAGGGTCAGCGCATGCTGAAGCACAGTGCCCAGAAGTCGCCAACGGTCTGCAGCGTTAATAGCTATAATAGCTACAGACCTCCAAACTTAGTGTGGCCTTCAGATTGGTACAATAACAGTGCGTAGAGAGCTTCATGGAATGGGTTTTCATGGCCGAGCAGCTGCATCCAAGCCTTACATCACCAAGCGCAATGCAAAGCGTCGGATGCAGTGGTGTAAAGTGGAGGGGGGATTATGGTGTGGGGTTGTTTTTCAGGGGTTGAGCTTGGCTCCTTAGTTCCAGTGAAGGGATAATAGCAGCTCCGATCTCCTCCCCGTGGGCTGCTCTCTCATGCCGCTCGATCGTGATGGGGTGATGGGGGAAATCTCATTACAGTGAAGTCAGTGCTGGTCACAATGACCCATTCTTGGTCTCTTACAGCCAAGGAAGATGCTATTTTTTGGATTTGTTGCTGCCCTTGTGATCAGCTAGGACACCAGCCATTTGAGGGCTTGAAAGTTTTGCAGAGAGTTGAAATAAGCACACTTACAACCTTCACAGTTGGCATGCCTTAAAAGTAACCGTTTTGGGAGACATTACCGTTTTTGCCGCCGTATAAGGTTACTGGGCGTATAAGACGACCCCCTACTTTCTGTTAAAACATAGGTTTTGGGCTATACTCGTCGTATAAGATGAGTACAGCCCAAAATAATGTTTAAATACACCCACTAGCCTCCTTGGCGGTATTCCCGAGTCTGGCTAGCAGTTAATTTTCAGTACCATAAGCGGTAACCCCGAGCCACACTCGGGATTACAGCATAGCGTCTCTTACATTGTCAATGATCCCCGGTGTCCTCAGTTTTCCGTCCCTCGCGAGCGTCCGCGTTGCAGGGGGGCAGAACCAGCGGGCATTTTAAAAGAAAAAAAAATAGAAGGAAAAAATTAATCAGACCGCCAGTGAGGCTAATCTGTCAGCCCGCTGGATGTGCGGTAATACTGTATGTACGGTAGCTTCGGCTACATACAGTATACCACACTGAGCCAATCACGGCGAGCAATGTACACAACCTCTGCCAATCCGAGCAAGCTTTGAATTCATTAATAGAATATATCACTCACCGTGATTGGCTCAGCCCGTTATACTGTATGAGGCCGAAGCTTGCCGTGCATACAGTATTATCCACACATCCAGCAGGCTGACAAAGGGAGAGATGGGGCATGTCAGACCAGGTCGGTTGCTAAAATGCACACTAAATATGGTATACGTTGGGTTGTATACTCTGCGTATAAGACGACCCCCGATTTTCGGGGGATGTTTAAGTCTAAAAAGTCGTCTTATACGCCGGCAAATACGGTAAATTGGTGGGTCGTTTCTCTTTAAATATACTCCTTGGACCTCTATTTTTGATTAACAGACTACATGCAGAATAACATTTCTTTTGCATTGATACATAAAAAGGCACAAGATTTTGGACTCCACTTTTATTAAAATATGATGTGCTTGCGTTCACAGAACGGCTTCACAATTCATTACAAATAAAAAACAATAAAAATAGTACATGGAAAGTCATTTCCACTTTACCAAATTCATAAAAAGAAATTAAAAAAAGGACATTAAAGTCCCACCATAGCAGAATACACTGGCGCATCTGTGGATAAAAAACAGAATTGGAGATGAGTTAGGTACAAAATCACATATGAGTGGTATCTAAAAATGGCAAAAAAAAACAAAGAAAATGGCAGAATGAAAAGAAAAAAAAAAAAAAGACAAAAAAAACCCCAAGACAAAAACGAAAGCTGGACATCATTATAGAATCACAACTATCAAAACACACAATTTCTACTACTGAAACAAAGACAAAATACATACTTCTAGAAATACAGTATCAGGCTTGTGACAATACAGGTTAGTTAAAAAGGAACATGCAGGGGTCCAGACTTTGTTAATGAGAAGTCCACACTGGACAAACCCACCTCTGTAAACGACCTCATTGTTTTATTTAATTTACTTCGCATCACTTAGGCCCAGGTCAAGGACAGCAATGAGATTAGGGGTGGTAAAGCTCCTGCATTTATTGTTGAAGCTTGCATACCACTGCTCTTTGAACTATCCTGTTAAATAACATTAAAGGGTGTGTAAACCCCAACAAGTCTCTTTCTCCCTTTTAGGTTTGATAAATAGAACTTTGAAAGTCTTGTTATAGCTACTCAACAAGTGCAAAATACACTGCTCAAAACAATTAAAAGGAACACCTTGAAAACACATCAGATCTCAATCGGGAAAAATATCATGCTGGATATCTATTGTATACTGGACTGGGTGATGTGTTAGGAACTAATCATTTGATGAACGCATCATTTGATGGAAATGAAAAATTATCAACCTACAGAGGGCTGAATTGAAAGACACCCCAAAAATCAAAGTGAACAAAAATGATGCAGCAAGCTAGCCCCTAGTCCAGGGGTGCCCACAAGGTCGATCGCGATCTACCAGTTGATCGCTTAGCGATCACTGGTAGATCGCACTGTCCTCTCCTCCCGCCGCTTCTCTGGATCCCCCGCTGCTAGTCTCCAGACGAAAAATAGTGGGCGCCCCTGCCCTAGTCTATTGTGATGAAATTTCATTGCAGCAACTCAAAATGGTACTTGTTAGTTTGTATTGCCCCCACATGCTTGTATGGATGCTCCTAATGAGACAGATGGTGTCCTGGGGTACCTCCTCCCAGATCCGGACCAGGGCATCACTGAGCTCCTGAACAAACTGAGGTGCAACCTGGTGGAGACAGATGGACCGAGACATAATATTCCAGAGGTGTTCTATTGGATTCAGGTCAGGCGAGCGAGGGGGCTATTCAATGGTATAAATTCCTTCATCCTCAAGGAACTGGCTGCATACTCTCGCTACATGAGGTCAGGTATTGTCATACACCAGGAGGAACCCAGGACCCACTGCACCAGCGTAGGGTCCAACAATGGGTCCAAGGATTTCATCCCGATACCTAATGGCAGTCAGGGTGCCATTGTCTAGCCTGTGGAGGTCTTTGCGTCCCTCCATGGATATGCCTCCCCAGACCATCACTGACCCACCACCAAACCGGTCATGCTGAACGATGTTACAGGCAGCATAACGTTCTCCACGGCTTCTCCAGACCCTTTCACATCGGTCACATCGCTCAGGGTGAACCTGCTCTCATCTGTGAAAAACACAGGGCGCCAGTGGCGGAATTCTAGTGTTCAATGGCAAATGCCAATCAACCTCCACAGTGCCGGGCAGTGAGCACAGGGCCCACTGGAGGACGTCGGGCCCTCAGGCTACCCTCATGAAGTCTGTTTCTGATTGTTTGTTCAGAGACATTCACACCAGTGGCCTGCTGGAGGTCATTTTGTAGGGCTCCGTCGTGCTCATCCTGTCCCTCCTTGCACAAAGAACAGATACCGGTCCTGCTGATGGGTTAAGGAACTTCTACGGCCCTGTCCAGCCCTCCTAGAGTAACTGCCTGTGTCCTGGAATCTCCTCCATGCTCTTGAGACTGTGCTGGGAGACACAGCAAACCTTCCGGCAATGGCACATATTGATGTGCCATCCTGGAGGAGTTGGCATGCCTGTGCAACCTCTATATGGTCCAGGTATCGCCTCATCCTACCAGTAGTGACACTGACTCTAGCTAAATGCAAAATTTGTGAAAAACAAACAGTCAGAAAACATGAGTAAAGCGCTTTACAATATTGTAAAGCGCTGCACAAACTGTTGGCGCTATATAAATCCTGTAATAATAATAATAATAATAATAATAATAATGAGTAGGGAAAAACAAATGTCAGTGGCCTCCACCTGTAAAACCATTCCTGTTTTGGAGGTCGTCTCATTGTTGCCCATCTAGTGCACCTGTTAATTTTATTAACACCAAAGCAGCTGAAACCAATTAACAACCCCCTCTGCTACTTCACTGACCCGATCAATATCCCAGGAGCTTAATTGACTTGATGCTATACTCTGATTAAAAAGTGTTCCTTTAATTTTTTTGAGCAGTGTATATCTGTTGATCCTGCCAAGAATGTTGTCAGCTGATAACTTCCTATGCTCTCTGCTTGTGCAGATTGTTAGTAGTGATGCACAGATACTAGTATCGGTACCGATTCTGTGTATGTGGGAGAGTACTGGCAGGAACACCAGGTGAAAATAAAAAAAGGGAAAAACTTCTGAAAAATGAAAATAGAGCCACCACATCTAAGGACTGGTAAGCCAAAATAGATTAAACCAAAGAACAAAAGGGTAGACCACACTTTAACTAGCATTTGTTGCACAAAACCTAATCAGATTTTACCCTTTTTAGTGCATGTCTGAGAAACCTGAAAATTATTGTGGATAGGTTGTTGCACCTAGCTATTTGCAGCCAGGAGGCATAGACCAGTGGTTCTCAACCTGACGTGGCTGCTGCAGCGACATCTGGCAGCGTGGCAGGGGGCTGAGGACGACATACAGCGACCCACAGTTTGAGAACCACTGCTTAAAGGAGACAACAAATCCTCTATTTCAGCGGTTCTCAACCTTTCTAGTGCCGCGACCCTTTGATAAAATTGCCCAAGTTGTGGCAACCCCTAACAGTAAAAAGTATTTTCAAACGCAGAATAACGCCAGCTACAGAGGAATACAGAAAATCGCAGCAATAGTACATTATACTATATGGTACTATTGCTGGGATTTGTAGTCCTCTGTAGCTGGCGTTATTCTCCATTGCGACGTATAATTTATTATTGCTGGGAGTTGTAGTCCTCTACAGCTGCTGGTATTCTGCAGTGTGCTGTATAATGATTTTACGGCGCAACACAGAATAATCGCCAGTGTATAAAGTATTGCTGGGATTTGTAGTCCTCTATAGCTGATGGTACAGCACAATGTACTAGCAGCTAGAGAGGACTACACATCCCACTACCGACTACCCCAGCAATACATTAAAGCAGCACCATGTGGGGGGGGTGAGAGAGTGCAGGCCTACCTGAGCAGATATGTACGCCGTCAGAATAAAAACCACCATAGGAATGCTATCATTAGAACTGGACCTTAATTTCAGGTCCCCCTCTGCTAATTGGCAGCAGCAGAGGGCGGGCTCAATAGCTAGTTTGCTATTGGCTATTGCAAAGTGAAATAGCCAATAGGAATCTAGCTGTGTTCCTATGGGTTTATTTTTTTTTTCTCTTACCGATTACGGCCTGCGGCCCGATGTCAGAAAAAGAAAAAAGCAGAGAAAGGTTTGCTATGCTCGATCGAGCATAGCGAACCTGTCCGGGGAGAAAGTTTTTTTTTTCTGATTTACGACCGCATGCGGCTCCGATGTCAGAAAAAACAAAAAACACACAAAAAAAAACAGCGGCGCAGACCTTTCCCGGGGCCGCGAGGCGAACCCCGGCAGATAGTCATTCGACCCCCGCGTTGAGAACCGCTGGCATAGACTATTTAAAGGGGATTTTACTGATCCACACTATATGTAGTACATGGCAAAGCTTGAAATGTATGTGCAGGACAACCTTGCAGAAGATTGAGCTTATTCTATTGTTAATTGCCACTTGTGTGCACTGGAGGGGGATAAATTACAGTGAAACTACACATTCCCATCCCATGTAGCCAATAAAAAGGTGCCAATAATCAGCATTCATTTGGATTGCAGTTGTCATGTTGCTGCACATGTGATCAGCTATGACACCAGGCATTTAAGAGCTTAAAAGTTTGGTTGAGAGCTAAAATAAAAGGATGCCAGCTCCCTTGCAGTTATTGAAAGAGGCATGTCTTGAACGTAATGGTTTTGGGAGACCGTAAAATTGGTCTAGTTTGGTTTAATCCAGCAGGCTAGAATCTACCCTTACAAGTGGAGTTGCATAAGGCCAGGTTCACACCTAGGCAACAGCATTTTTGATGCACATTTTTATGCGCATATGGCAAAAAGCGTTTTTGTGAGCAGATTGTAGCTCATTGATGCCATTGAGAAAAAGCGCATAAGAATGCACAAAAACACAGCAAACGGGCATTCTAAAGCGCTTCCTATAGAGCCTATGGGGCAAAATCGAGCTGCCAAAAAAAAAAGCTCCTGTACTTTCCAGCGACAGGTGTTTTGCCAATAGCAACAAAATGCTCAGATGGGCAACAAAATGCTCAGATGGGCAACAAAATGCTCAGATAGGCAACAAAATGCTCAGATGGGCAACAAAATGCTCAGATGGGAACAGGGCCATATAAATAAATGGGATTTTTAAAGGGGCAGATTTTTTGAGCGTTTAGGGCAGAAAAAGCGCTACAAAACGCTCAGTGTGAACCAGGCCTAAAGCAGAAATAAGCTCAGTGTTGCTTCCTTTATAAGCACATCTATTGAGCATGGATTGAACAAAATAAATGTCCCAAAATACATATTAAAAAGGAAAGCTGGATTAAGGAGGGGGCTGCCATTGCAAGTATGGATTTTTTTTACTTCTCTTGAAGTACTGCAGCCAGGAGCAGCCAAGCAACTAAGCATTTTTAAAAGAAGCCATTAAAGGCAGGTTCCATATTTCATTGAAATGTTTATGTAAACTAACAATTAACTTTTTATTTGGTCCCTTTTAGTCTAATATACCATTGAAAGAGTTTCGTTATATGTGCGAGAAGTTCGGAAAAAAAAACACGTGTTTATGTTGTTCTATGTATGTTAGTTGATAACAGCACAGGCAGAGAAAACAGGAAGTTATCAGTTACATTGTTCTCAGCTTTGTCTAACTACAGAATCACACCCGTGAGGGGTGAGGTTCGGTAGCCCTTATCGTGTTTCTGTTGTACTGACAAAGTAGGGCGAGTGTTGTCACCTTAGGAAAGTGTGTTACTGGCAGGATCACCATGGTAAGAATAAAGCGGAAAGAACCCCGAAATGAATACAGCTCTACAGTCTAGCCCAATAATTTACATTTCTCTGAACTCCTCCTAGCAGTGCAGCTCAACAGTTGGACAAGCAGAACAGTCAAGGCTCATGGGATATCCTCCCAAAGTGACACCCTGAGAAGTAGTTAAAAAAGAGGTGGTTGTCACAAAGTACAAGTCAGTCCTGCAAACCGAGAAATAAAGACACGCACACAGCAAAGCAAATGTCCACGTCAGTACGAAAAACATGGCCACATTACATCAAACACATCTCAATTCAGCCACCGTCTGACACATAACTGAATCATGTAAAGCAGCACTTAACCTGTGAGGTGCAAGTAAAAAGGCAATTCACAGCTCTTTTGTAGCGGCATTGTTTTTAGCTGCACATCACTACATCTGAATCTAAACTTCTGTTTAATAGATTCATTGAAACAAAAATAATGCAGATGGCTGGCAGGGGCCCACTGCTGCGAGGAGGACCAGGCCCTTCACTTTGCAACCTGCATGCAAGGCGGTTAGCCTGGGGATTATATCGCAATGAATATTACAACATGCACCTTCCGGTATTTGATAAGAATGGGAATATCTCATAGATTGTTAGGATTGTTTTTATTGTGGGATCAACGCACTGTTTAGGGCCTGTGATACATTGTATTAATCATGGATGAACATGGACTTGGAGAGCTTTTTCATAAACATTTGGAGAAATCACTGAGAAAAAGCAAGTCCTTTTAGAATGATTCTAAACAATATTTTGTAAGGTCAGGGTGAAATACTCCATCCTGGAATATTCTAAAATAGTCTCATGGCATTACTAGTAACTAGCCCCCACGCCAAAGAATATCAGCTACATACTATAGTGTCTGCATTCAGTTTTGAAAAACTGTGCCAGTGGATGGATGTTAAAGCAGAAAGGAGTCTTCTTAACCCCTTCGTGACGGGAGACGTACACTGTACGTCCAGCCACAAAGAATGGCAATCTTTCCTGATCTATGAAGAGCAGATTACAACTTTGTGAGATGCAGGGAATTAATGCTGTGCAAACCACCTATAAAAATAAATACGTAAATAGTACTAAACCGTCTCTGTTTTTCAATCAGCTGCTGGACCAGATTGTGCCTTGTTGCTGCAAAACAATGATCTGGCCTTGGTCCTCCTCCTGCATGTGTAAAACAACTTATCTTGGCCTGACCCATTATAATGTATGGGAATAGAGCCAAGTGCAGTATACTAAGGCTGTCCCTTCCATTAAAACCTCTCCCTGACTGACAAGGAATCCAGTGTGTTCTTTCCTGTATTCACAAACATCCATGCACAACCAAATTAACTGTAAGGGCTGCTGGAACAATTCTAATAAAAATTGCATTGTTATTGCAAGTAGGAACTAGCCGCCTGCTTACAGCACATACAAATTGGCATTTTTCTAGTATTGGAGTTGCTGTAATTCAACATGTAGGCCAAGAATATAACTAAAACACTAAACTACACTTTATTTATTTTTTACACATTTAGCTATTACGGCCTTATGTTTACAAGGTCTTGTTCACATAGGTTTATAAGCTCATATAAAAGAGCAGTGTGAGCAGCAAGCTTTTACAGAGCATTTGCAAAGCTTTTGGCAAGATTTGTTAAAGCTGTTAAAGCACCATTTAGATCCAGTTTGGGAATGTCCCTTAATAGGAGTGCTGACTGTCACTTTAAACAAGCTGACAGCAGGCTGCAGCACAACTTTGAAGCTTGTTGAAAGCCTATCCACAGCTTGTCAGCACTCCCAATAAGATCTGCATTTAACATTCCCAAACTGGAGCTGAAGGGTAATTTGAAGGCTTCAAGAAAACTGCTCAAAGCTTGCCGAAAGCTTCACATATGCTTTGCCTAGAGCTAAATTTAAAATAAGTTTGAGAAACACTGGCGTACAATATTGCTAAGGATCAGCCCAAGATACTTAGAAATCACAAATGAAGTTATTTTCAGCCAGCCTTTCACAAAGCAGTCAGAAAGAAATTTGATAAGATAAAAGAAGTGTCAGTAAAAGAAAGCAGCAGTATCGGTCAAGTTAGGGAAAGAGCAAGTCATTTGATGTGAGGTCATCACTGGGGTCAGGGTCAAGAAGAATCACGTTGACTTTACTTTTTGGGCTGTTTTGGCTCTCTGGTTCCGGAACCTTCCAGTCCATTTTCCGACCCTTTTCATAAAGGCTTTTCAGGACTTTTCGGAAGTTGTCTGGCTCGGTTCCGTTACGACTTAGCTCCAAGTATTTGTGATAGAGCTGTAGAGCTGTTCGTGCATCTTCAATACTATCATGTGTCTCTCCTTGGATCTTGAGGTCTATGAAACCAAGAAAAAAAATATGTGAAAGCTTGATCAAAGAATCTTTTAAAGATTTAAAATGTACTTCTTACTGGTAAGCAGCTAGAAAGAAAAAGGTTTCATCTTTATGGAACGAGTTTAAAAAATGACAAAAAAATTTACTGTGTTAAATATTGCAGCACATATATAAGCCAATCAGAAAGCATCCATGATCCTTAAAGTGTACCTAAACCCTAACAGCAAACATCTTTTATTTCGATCCCTTTTGGTCTGTTAAATATAGCACCGAGAGTTTTTTTATATGTGTTATTTTAGGTGCAAACAAATGGTTAATATTGTCAGAAATTCAGAGCCGTCTAGTGCGATCTCAAAGTATCTATTTGGCCCTCCCAGTTCTTATGTTAGGGCTAGAAGTGAATTAGTACCCATGATTTGCAGATGGTCATAATGGTTATGTAGTTCAACAACAACAACAAAAACTGGGCTGTGCTGACACCACTCTCCTATTGTGGGTTAACACCACATAGGGTTTTCAAAAGCTGAAAAAACATTTCTGGCAGATCAACAGGTATTTTTCTGAACTTTACTGGTCTTCAAAAGGGATTAAAAAAAAAACAAAAAACAGGGAAATGTACATGCATTGCAGAAATGCACTGCATTTTTTTATTTTATTTTGACTTCACATATACTTAAAAAGGAGAACTATGGGTTTAAGGCTTTTCCCCATAGTTCTCCTTAGGGTAACGGGAGGACACAAACTAGCGTCCTCTTGTCACCCTAGGCTCAGTATACCGCGAGCTGTAGCTCGCGTTATACTGAGACGCCGCAGTATACGGCTGCTGCTCGCGGTATACTGAGGCGCCGCAGCTGAAGCGGATCCTTACAATTATGCCGGGATCCGCCCAGCTGCGTGACTGACAGCTGGCTCTGCCTATCTAGAGGCAGAGCCAGCTGTACCCGCCCCCTGGGGGATCAGAGCGGGGAGGGGGGAATCCAGCCCCTCCCCTGTCACGGCAGAGAGCCGTGACAGGATCGAGAGGTGAGTGAACGTCGGTATGTGTTCGCTCACCTCCCGATCTACTGAGCCGATCTGTGACAGTCTCATTGTCACAGGTCGGCTAGAACTATGAGGTGAGTGAAAAGCACTCACCTCATAGTTCTCCTTTAAAATGTTTGATCAGACAAAAACAGAAGTTTTCCCAGTGATATCTCCATTATAACCCTTACAAGGTTTAAAAAAACATGCAAGTAGAAATTGCGGACCTAAAACTGCCAAGTGCCTGGCCATCTGTGGCTTTAGGTCACGGACTTCAAAAAAGCATTCAAAAAGTGGAGTCAGAGTTCCTGATCTGCATACTCGTTCAAGGTGAGCTTGACAGCCAAGCAACCAGCATTCTCAGGAGGGCCCAGTGATGGCAGCTTCCATATTTCCCAGTACAAGGTTGCTTTATAGAAAGCAATTCAGCTACAAGTATATCTACCTTAGTTGGCAAAAAACCCAAAAACAAACCCAGCAACTGCTGTCGCTGAGCACATCTGTAGAAAGTAGTTGTGTATAGAGATTCCATACAGAAGTGTATAAAATCTGACCAGGCTGAATCACTCATCTGTTTTTTTAATCCCTAGGGGACTCTAGGGGGAAAATTTAGGCCATTAGTTTCCAGATCTACCTCACGCCATGAAATTTCACTACAGCATGAGAAGTACTCCAAAATTTTAAACAAATGTAAAAAGCAACAGGGAGACTGGGACTCCCACAATGGTCACTACATGTAGAGGTGGGAATTTAGGGACCGAACATAAGACAATGCTTACCGAGGAAATACCATGCCAAGAATCGGAGAGAGATCATTCGTTTGCGTGGTATGTGAAATAAATACACAGTATCAATCACCTGATCTTTTGGCACCTGTAGTGAATAAGCAAATACAAGAGTTTAAAGTTCACCCTGATCAAATTAATGAAAACACAAAGTATAGGATAGTACAAATATCACTTCACCTTATTAGCTGGTGAATTTTAATAAGCTGTATTCTATTTAAATTATATTGTTCAAAATGTTCACCTTATAAGCTTCCGCCCTTAATTTCCCACTTTTCTCTTTCTCGCTTGCCTTTTTAAAAAGATTATATTTTACCTTCATTATTATTTCCCCTGCCATCTATATAGCTCAAGTAGCCACAGAGGCTATGCCACCTTTTACCCCTAAAAAAGAAAGTCATTACTAGAGAAAACATATCTACCTAACATTTAAAAAAAGTGATACCCTCCCCGTCACAAACCCAGGCAGTTTAAACTGAACATATGATGAATAACGCACAAAGGCTGCTTTCATTGAAGAGCACATTTAAAAAAAAAAAAAAATATATCAGTAAACTATTATACATTATACAGGATTTATAAATGGCAAAAAGTCCACCCAGCTCTTTACAATATAAGAAGGACATTACAGTTACACTACAAATAAACAATGTGAGAGCTTAGAATCTAAAAGCAGAATTAGGAAACTGAAGTTATATGCAAACCTTGACTATTGTCTGAAAGTGGAAATTAAGGCTTACTTTTTTGCACTCAAAATTACAAGTCCTAGGTCATTATGTAAACCGCCATGTTGAGTTGACAAAATGGGATCTTGCTCTTATGGTAAAATCCTTTTTTTCCAGAGTCCATTGAGGGACATAGCTCTGAAGAATTCTGAGATATATGGTTATGCTGCTGCCTCTAGGAAGAATGGACATTAGGCAAATAAAAAAGCCTCCCACTTTAAAAAGAAGGACATAACCCTTCCCACCTGCCAGTTGTAGCAAGAAGTACAAAGGAATTTGAGTGGAGAGAGCTGTGTCCCTCAGTGGACTCCAAGAAAAGGATTTTACTCTAAGAACAAAATCCTATTTTCTTAATTGAGGGACACAGCTGAGGAATTCTGAGACTTGGGGATGCTCAAAAGCGGTCCAAACAGAGGGGCGGGCACCACAATGAAAGCACTAGCTCAACAAAAAATGAACCGTCAAAGTACACTTCACAGTAACATGGAAAAAAAACCTTTTCTACCAAAACATAGCATCAGAAGAGACAGAACAACTAACTTTATAAAACTTTGCAAAAGTGTGAACAGAAGACCAGACTGCGGCCTTGCAATTTTGGAAACAGGCGCTTGATTGTGAAATGCCAAAGAATGATGAACTGCCCTAGTAGAATGAGCAGTAACAGGAAAGGTAGTACCCTGTCCCCGCAACTCATAAGCTTGAACAACAAGCTGACAAATCCACTTAAAAAGTGGATCTAGAAGCTAAACAACTTTTTCTAGGCTTTTCTGAAAAGAGCAATAAAGAGTCTCAACATTGAAAGGAAGCTGTGGCTGGATGGACAGAAGCTGGACAAAGTGAAGGGAAAACAAAGTCTTCATATAAACGAAAAGCTGAGATTACTTTGGGTAAAAAGGAAACCTGTGATCTCAAAAACAACCTTGTCCCTATGAAGAACCAAATAGGGTTCTTTACAAGACAAAGCAGACAACTCGAAAAATTCTTCTAGCCTAGGTAATGGCCACAAGAAAAGTAACCTTTTTGGAGAAGACAATGAAAGGTCTTGTATTAGGTTCAGAAGGAGGTTTAGGAAAACAGATAAAACCAAGTTCAAGGCCCATGAAGGAAAAGGAGACCGAACATGAGGAGCTACATATGAGTAACTACCTAAATAAAAGTATGAATAAAAGGAATTAGAGCAAGAGTACATTGATAAAAAAGGACCAGCAACGCAGATGTCTGATCCTCCCACTTAAGAGCAAAATGTTCATCTACCTCAAGTTTAAGGAAAGACAACGTTTGCAATATAGATGAGCACATGTGGAAAATCCAAAAGACTCACGCCAACTAAAATCAACCTTCGAGTACGATAACAAAATCTGAAATTCGTTAGTCTTTCAACACTTGGGTTTCAACAGCCAGGCCGTTAAAGCCAGCGACTGAGAAGCAGGATGGAAGATTGGACTCGCATAACAGAACCAGCCAATCTGGAAGGAGATCGGGATCGTCTGCCAATAGATGAGCCAAATTGGCATACCACACCTTGCAGGGCCAAATTGGAGTGACGAGAACGACTGGAATTCCTTTGTGTACAATTCCTCAAAGCAGTTGAGGTAACAGCGTTAGTGAAAGAAAAACTATACATTAGCGTGTACTGGTCCCACGGAGCTACTAGGACATCTACCGCATCCACCGCTGGATCCCTTGCTCTGCACACAAATGTCCAACTTCTTGTTGTGATGAGAAGCCAAAAGATCCACATCCGGCATTCCCCAGCAGTGAGAAAGTTGTTGAAACACTTCTGAATAGAGAAACCATTCATCCGAATCCAGAATTTTCTGCTGAGAAAATCCACCTGCCAGTTTTCGACTCCTGGAATGTGCACCACTGAAAAATCACCGCCCAATCCAAAATCTAATGCACTTCCGCCACTATTGACACACTCCTGATGCCTCCCTGGAGATTGAGGTATGCTAATTGCTGTAGCATTGTTCGACAGAATCCAAATAAAACGCCCAGACAGAAGGTGGGTCCAGTGAAACAGATCAATTACCCTCAAGTCCAGGACACAAATCTGAAGCTCAGATTCCTCCAGAGACCAACAAACCTGCACAGACACTCGAACCAAGAGATCGCCCCATCCCACAAGACCGGCAACTGTTGCGACAATCTTCCAAATCATGGGAAGAAAATGACTTTACCATTGTCGACGTAGATGTCAACCACCACGACAGAGACATCTTGGCTGGGGCACTCAATCAGATCTTGTCCACCATCAGACGAGACTCATCCTACACTGTAAGAATTCTCCTCTGTAAAGTCCTGGAATGGAATTGAGCAAAAAGGTACCACTTCAAAGATTGACACAATCAATCGCAGTACTCATAGGTTCTCAGAAAGGTTTGAAAGGTATCAGAGAGAAGACTCAAATACTCCAAGTGATGTGAAGAAACTAGGAATGACTTCTTGATGTTCAGAATCCACCCAAAGGGCTCAAATGTCCACAGCACCATTTATACATTGAGCTCCAAAACAGCAGGAGACTGTTCTTGAAGTAAAAGTCTTCAAAGTATCTGATGATCGGAATACCCTGGCAAAGAAAAAAAAAAAAAAAAAAATCACAGGACTGGAAAAACAACTTTTGTAACAACCCTTGGAGCCGAAGCTAACCCAAAAGGGAAGAGCCGCAAACCGATAATGAAGATTGCCTATAGCAAAATGAAGGAAATGCCGAAGAGCGGAAAACACAGGAATGAGTAGATACAGATCCTTTAGGTCTGTGGAAACCAAAAAAATCTTCATTAAGATGAGCGACAACAAACTGTACTTCTTAATAAATTCAGGATGGAATCCATTGAAACATATTGAGCAATTTTAATCCAGAATCGGATGAAGTCTTCCATTGGGTTTTTGAAACGTAAACAAGTTTGAGTAAAAACCTTGAAAAACATCCGGATCAAAACAGACCTTGAACTGTGGTTTGTCCGACGCTGCCAAGACACATGAAGCTGGAAAGCAAAGAATCAGGCATCCCCATCCACATATAGAAAAATGAGGGAGCAGACCTTCATGTTAAAGCAGACTTTTCAATTGTCAAAAATGTCTAGAGGGTCCAAAGATTTGGAAGTGTAAGACGTCTTTTGAAAACTGGGGGCTATAGAAAAGGTATAAAAGATGGAAAATTAGAAGCAGGCTTATGACGCTGACCCCTATTTTTCTACATCTGAGGTAAGTGCTCACTCTTACCTCCCATAGCTATTTAATAATCTAATCCAAGACAGCTTCAAAAGACAACAACCTCTGTATAGGGTAAACAAAAACAAAATCCCTTTTTGTAGTGCGGTTCCGATGACCCACACTTAAAACAGATAGCTATGTGTACCTGAATGGAAAAGACAGGCACATGAAAACAGCCGACAAGCATTACAAAAGCGCATCACATATGAAATGAGTAGTCAGTCAACAGTCATCTGATGCCCAATCAATAAAATGTGGATCCACTCCATCAGTCGCCTGCTCTGTACTTAAAATTTTTGTCCACATAGCCAAAATCTTGGAAATAAGGAACGTAACCAATAATAGTTGGAAGAGGAAAACCAGCTTTTTTTCTCCTTTAATTATTTAAATAAAATCATAAATAAAATATAAGGGACATACAGTGTCTAGGAACCAGAAAATTGCTTATCTGTAATTTCCTAATCCTTATATTAAAAATAAAATTAAAAATAGGATGAGAGAAAAAAAACCTTGCAGACATGCTCAGGTTTATGCGCACGTAGACTAGAATTCATAGAAGTAGAAATAACAGCAGAATCTTCTAATTTTAAAGAGGAATGCAGTCTTCCATTAATAAGGCAACTTTCCGATGCTGAGTGAATCTGTCACAGCCCAGCTATTGCATCAGTGATATCACAAAATAAACTAAAATAATAAAGCAGGGGAAAGAGACATCTATTCTCCTGAGGACACCAAGAGAAACTGGCAGGTTTTTTTAAAATTTTTATTTATTTGCCTAGTGTTCATTTTTCCTAGAAGCAGCAGCATAACCTTACTTCTTAGAATTCTTCACAGCTGTATCCCTCAATGAACGATAGAGAAAAAGTATTACTCCCTTTAAAAGGTTTTATGCAGCTCAAACGCTGCTGTTAAATAGCAAGTAAAGTGTAGCTGCCGGACTAGACGAGAGGGTAATTGCAGAACCTACAACATCACCACCCTGTGATAGACAGGCAGCTGCCTGAAGTGCACTACCCAGGAACATTTAAGGCTAGCTATAACTGAGCAGGGAAGGTGTAATAAGTATTCTTTTGGAAGACTAGACGGGGTTCAGGGTGGCACCGCAGTGGTGACAATGGTGGGATATCTGTGCGCAGCATGATATAGTCTATTGAAGTTTCTGATACTGGATGAGGGATAGCGAAATTCAGGCCAGCTTTAATGTGTTTAACTATCCACAAGAATAGACAGCTTTTAGAATACTCATAAGGATTGTTTCTGATCGGGAGATCTGTGCAGTATTGCTGTGAGTAATTTACTATGCTGGGAATTGTATGTAGTATATTTAATTTTGTCTAACTTTATATATATATATATATATATATATATCTCTATATATCTCTATATCTATAGATCTATATCTATACTTTAAGCAAAGCCTGGGAGGGAACAGAACTATGCTCAACTTTTAATGTGGCCATATATCCCATTAAAAGACCAATAAGAAGCACAGCTAAGCTTACAGGAGAACTGAATATTTCTATGCAGGTTCAGCTGCCTATATCTCTGGACATATGTGGATGGTTTTGGGGTTGAACTTGAGGTTTTCACCAACGGTAACCTCAGCTTATACTTTTGATCCAACATATGCTTAGTAAAACTATTAAAACATGGGTAGTACAAAGTGTTGACCCAAACCACCCTACCCATCTAGTATGCAAAAACTATACCATGAGATTTATCACTCGAAAATCTTTCTGAAGACCGTGACCCACAAACTTGACTCCTACATCAATGAGGAACCTTAATTTAAGATATGTGGATTTAAGTGTTGTTAGATGTTTGGATGAAATCTTGGCATCCAAGTCACCAGGCTTTATTCCAGAGTACTGTGTCAGATAATCGACCACCTGCAAGAGAATAAACCCTTTTATTTATTGCACTTTATGATTGCATTAGTATACAGACATAACACAAGCTAATCATGCTCATAGAAAGTGTGCATCATACACTGACCTGTTCCTGGGTGGAAATGTAGTCATCTATGAAAGGAACACCCTCATTAGGTCCCTGTCCCCTTACACATGTGATACGAGCCACCGACATCTGACTGGGTTTTATAGTGGACTTTGTCCCATCACTTCGAAGCTCAGCCTCTTCCTAAGGTAAATGGGGAAAAAAATAAAAATAAATAGTACCATCTTGCGGGCCTGAGTTGGGCTGTGTGTGTGTGTGTGTGTGTGTGTGTGTGTGTGTGTGTGAGACATCTCACACAGTTTTTATGCTTTTAGATGTGTGAAATGTTTACGGACAACCACAGATATGCGTATAATCACGGCTTCAGTCATCCCCCTACTAAGTACTGGTCGGAAAACAAATCATGATGAAGACTCATGGTAAAGCCATATTAAGGTTAAAATTAAAACAAACAAGGCACACAAATGCAAGCACCATAAGGTGGTAGAACATACATGGTTCTTCTCAGTGGCCCTTAATGCCCGAGCAGCTCATCAAAATTACTATGCAAGTACCAGTTTCAAGATTGTGTAGCATAGGTATGCACTTATCCAGCCATTCAATGCTCCCTGACTGTCAGACCCATCGGGATGCACCTGTGTTGTCACATGACACAGTGGAGGCATGAGTGAGCTCATTCTGGAAACATCCCTTATGTGGGTTCTTGGAACTTTCTGAAGCTTATATTTTTTCACTTCCTCTGCTTTCAAGTCAGGTTTGATGAGGAATTGTGGCTGTGAAAAATGTATGCGTTTGGGAATAGGTTTCCTCATCATAAGCAAGGGTTCTCACATCACCAGATTACCTACCAGACTATGCTCTCCTGCATGTATCTCAAGGTTTAAGTAATTTGCCAAGGGTGCACTTTTAGAATACAACAGATCTTCTAACCTGGTAACATCAGATGCATTTCTGACTGTTCTTATTACCTCAAGTGTCATTTCTCCTCCAGCATTGGATGAATAACCTGCAGCGGCTGGCAAGCTGCCAGTGAAAGTACTAAACCTCCATATAATTCGAGAAATCACTTGATCTTAAAATTCTGTAAGTCAAGTTACCTGATTAAGAGTAACAAACTCTGCATCCAGACCCACTAGTTCTGCTGCCTGTGGCATCTCATTCAGCAGCAATGGAATGAACGTGGCATGGCACTTTCTTTGTTTCCGGGCAAGAGAAGCTTCTGCCAGTAATACGCTGGCTTCAATTGGGTTCTTAACTGCAAACAAGCATGCTCATATTTATAAAATGTTAGCTAAGAAGAAATCTAAATTAAAAAAATAAACATGATTAAACATTTATTCATGATAATAGCAAATAGACTCATCTTACTTGCCAAGTTGTATTTGGAATTTAGGCTCCTCTTGGTATAAAATAAAATAGCAGGAACTTTCCAATTCATATCAAACTGGACAGCCTCACACTGAGATGAGAAAAAAAATAAGAGGTTAGAGATGCATTAGATTCAAACCACAATACTAATACAAGGCCTGTAAACTACTTTCTTACCTTATCAACAGGTTCAATAAGGAAATCATTTAACAAGTACCACTGCTGATGCGTCACTCCCTAAAAATAAGTAAAAAATAAATAAGGACGACGTGATCAAAAGAACTCTCCTTACATACTTTTTTGTATTTTGTAACCGACTAAAAATATTAGGACTTCCAACAAGAGCTTAAGATCTAAATTTTATGGGCATGATTTTCCCATGTTTATTTTCTTGCCATTTTGGGCCAATGGTGTCTAAAACAGAATGGAAAATAGCAGTGACCTCACTTTGCTGGTGGTGGAGCTGAAAGCTAAACACTAGTCCAAACTACTCTCCTGCCAACTGAGGAAATCTGCCTGCCAATTGCCTATGCCTGGAACGTACATAGCGGATTGGATCCGCTCTTGAAGCAACAACATTTCTGGTTCCTCCCTAGTGATTGATGTACACCATTGCCAAGGTGTTGTCCAACTGAATCTGTCAACAGTAAAGCTAACAGCTTGGTAAACACCTGAAGCATAGCAAAATGGGCCAAATGGCAGGGCTACAAACTGCTAGCGCAGCGGTCCAACACCAGAACTTATAAAACGCTGGTGTGCTAAAAGGATGGGGGCATCTTTGATGTTCACAAAAGACAGAAAGCGCTGTTGAAGAGGAGCAACAACATCTGGTGGAATCCATATGCAATCTTAAATGAAGACATTTAAGGCTTTGGAGGTCCAAGATGCAGCAAATGTCCCTTTGGATTTTGGGACAGTAAACATGTTAAAGAAAACCCCTAAATGGTTTCACAAAGGGGACCAAAGCTATGACCGTTTGGTCTAAAAAGCCTGATGGAGATCTTCCAGTCTGTTAAGACACACAGAAAAAGGTGACACAGAAGGGGTCAGGGAACTTGAGTTTGTAGCCCTGGGACAACATATAGAGCACGCAAGCATCTGGAATGCAAGATGCCAAAGCGGAAAAAAAAAAAAAAAAAGGTCAGACGTCTCCCCATTGTGGAAAGTGGGAGTACACCTTCATGCTACAGAAGGTTCATCTGTGAGCTTGGCAGACTTGCACTGTCCGACTTTTCAGGTGGGTGGGGAGCCAAGCTTAGGAGGAACTCAACACTGAAGTCGAGTGCAGAACGAAAGGAATGTTACTTGACCGTTTCGAAAGGAGATGACTTTATAGTCTGCTCGTTATGCTTCTTCTGCTGGGAAAGAGGAGTGTTCTTACCACCAGTAACATCTTTGATGAGAACATCTAGGGCCAGCGCAGAGAGGCATTGTCCCTCGAACTGCAGGCAAAACTTTGGCAGTGCAGCACTATAGCAAAAGTGCACAATGCATATGCAGAAAGCCATCTGCTCCATGTGTTTAAATAAGCAGAGGGTCAAAAGCAGTTCGATTCCCTTTAAACCTTTTCACTGCTACCGATGTAAGGCATATGGCAGAACAAAACCAACAAAATCCATAACAAATGCATACAATGTCAGAAAACACTAAGGGGGAAGAAACAAACTATCAGGGTGCTTCCAATCTTTTTACAGAAACAGTTGGAAAAGGTGCAAAAAGGAGAATCTATGTGGTCTTAGGGAACCTATAGGACCAAAGGCTGGAAACTCCACTAGTAGAAGCAACAGGCCGATCCTCTAGTGGTGCCCACTGTATCAATAAGGACTAAAAGGATTAAATCAAACGGCATCAGAGTCTCCTCAGCCAAGTGGGCAGAGGATCCAACTACACTGGATGGAGCCAAAAGAGGACTCTGAGGACAGGAGAGACTAACAGCAGAGGACAAAATGATCCCAGGCTGCATACATTGGCACCATTAGTGGCCACACTGCAAGCATTCCTGATCCATTGGTAGAAAGTGAGCTGGGAACATTGGTGGATAACAGGGTATAATGGCAGACAGTGACCAACAAATAGGGGAGCTCCCTAAGGTTTGGCCTGACAGGCCTACTCACTAAGAAAGTCTTCAAAGACAGATCATGCACAGAGGCAATTGTCAGGGGCTCTAGACCAGGAAAAAGCTAAGCAGCTAACCTTAGCCAGAACAAAGACTGGAAAGTACCCCACGCAGGACCCAGAACTTTGATAGATTTATAAAAATCAGTCTGACAAAATGCATGAGTTCACAGTGTGCAAGAGCCCCCATGTGTGATATGTGACGGGGAGAGAAGGCATATAACAGAGGGCTGGAGCCAAGCAGGATTTGTGTGCCATAACATGTTTAACTATCTCACATAAATTACACTGGATTTATATGCGTCATACACACCTAACGCGCTCCTTTTTTGCAGACATCAGCTAGATTAACTATTTCAACTGAAACTCCAAATTGTTTTATAGCTGTAAGATGTCTCTTCCTTTCACTATTTGTTTGGTCAATAAAAGTATTTCCAGGGACCAAAACTGTAAAGCACAGGATTATTAAAGTGGAAGTTCACCCTAAAATTACTCTATTATAATACAGGATTTATATAGCGCCAACAGTTTGCGCAGCGCTTCACAATATAAGGAAGACATTACAATTACAATACAATTCAAGACGGTAAGGAGGGCCCTGCCCGTGAGGGCTTACAATCTAAAGGGAGGGGCAAGTGATACATGAGGAAATGGCTGTGTGGGGATGAATTCCTTAAGAAACTGATATTTCAGGTTAGGTTGCGGTGGGATAGGCTTCCCTGAAGAGATGAGTCTTAAGGCCTTGGTTCTCAACTGGTGGGTCGTGACCCAAAAGTGGGTCACGACCCCATGTTCAGTGGGTCGCCGCATGCCTCCCCCTAGCCCCCCTGTAGCGCAGCACTGTCCATTCTTACACCAAGCAGCCATTTAAAATATGCTGCCCAGCACCAAGTGTTGACTTGAGGTAGGCTGGGGGTATGGCTGCCAAGGAGCTCCCTCCATATGTTCATTACTTACAGCTCCATCGCATGTCCTGTAGAAGTGCCTGGACTGGAGTGACATCACATTCTGGCTCCCAGCACCTCTACAGGCGCACATGTGAGCTGTACAGGCAATGCACATATGGATGGAGCTCCATCACAGCACAGCAGCCCACACTGCCATATGTTCCATTGCAGTGCGACTTGGGTCGCGACTTAATGACCAAGGACAAATGTCGGTCCTGAGGTTACACAGGTTGAGAACCACTGTCCTAAAGGGATTGCCTGAAGGCAGTCAGTGTGGGAGATAGACGGACCGGTTGGGGTAGAGAGTTCCAGAGGATGGGAGAGACTTTAGTGAAGTCTTGGAGGCGAGCATGGGAGGAGTTGACAAGGGAGCTGGAAAGCATGAGGTCTTTTGAAGAGCGGAGGGGACGATTAGGGTGATACTTTGAGACAAGGTTTGAGATATATCCGGGGGCAGAGTTGTGGATGGCTTTGTAAGTGGTTGTTAATATTTTGAATTTTATCCTCTGGGCGAGTGGAAGCCAGTGGAGGGATTTGCAGAGGGGGGGTTGCAGACACTGAGCGTTTGGTTAGGTGGATGAGTCTAGCAGCTGCATTCATGATAGACTGAAGGGGGGATAGCCTGTTTAAAAGGTAGGCCAATTAGGAGGGAGTTGCAATAGTCAAGACGAGATATAACAACTGAGTGGATGAGTAATTTTGCGGTTTCATTGGTGAGGAAGGGACGTATTGTGGAGATGTTACGAAGGTTAAGGCGGCAGGATTTGGATAGTGATTGGATGTGGGGAAGAACGGTGAGGTCCTAGTCCAGGATAACGCCTAGGACCTTGGCATGGGGTAAGGGCTGGATAGTTGTATTAACAGTCTCAAGGGAAAAGTTTGGGGAAGGTGCATGGGCAGGAGGAAATATCAGGCGCTCAGTTTTTTAAAGATTGAGTTTTAAGAGTGTTGTGACATCCAGAGGCATATGTCAGTTAGTAGGTTAGTGACACGCAAGGACACTGAGGGGGTGAGTTGTGGAGTGGAGAGATATATATTTGAGTGTCATCAGCATAGAGATGGTATTGGAAGCCATGTGAGGTTATTAACTGGCCAAGGGAGGAGGTGTAGACAGAGGAGAGAAGGGGTCCAAGGACAGAGCCTTGGGGGACCCCTACAGAGAGAGGAAGAGGAGTTAGATTTGTAGGTGACACTAAAGGAGCGTTTAGATAGGCAAGAGGAAAACCACGAGAGAGCAGAGTCTTGTAGGCCAAGCGAGTGGAGTTGTTTGAGAAGGAGCAGGTGGTCCACAGTGTCATAAGCAGCTGAAAGGTCTAACAGCAAGAGTAAGGAATAGTGGCCGTTGTTTTTAGCTGTTAGTAAGTAGTTAGTGAGTTTTAGGAGGAACATACCATACAACATATGTACTTTAATGAATGCCTAGCACCATATTTGACATCTGTCTGTGCTTCAGTTGTTCAGCAATCGCCGATGTAAATTCCTGGCTATTTACCAGCGACACCATGCAATTTATGGTGCCGTTCAGCCTCCCCTCCCCCATGCTATCTACATCTCATGATTGCACAGCCTGACTGGTAAACACGTACCCTGTGTGCCCTGATGCTGTCAAAAATATAGATGGCATGAGGGAGGCTGAGCAGCACCATGAGCTGCAACGTGCAATAACACATAGCAAGCAGTCAAAAATCTCTAACCACAGGCGACAAATGTAAGTGAAAAACTGTTTAATAGGTTATGCTGCACTTTGAACATCTTGCAGAATAAGCCCACAGGGTTGTTTTTACAGCCTTTTACCATTTCTTAAAAAAAGGCTAATAGGCTGAATACAGTCTTACCTGCCTTGTAGCTCTCCCTAATCTACGGCGTGCTCTTGGTCCAAGTTTCTAAATATATACATATTTATAATAATGGAAACGTTACATAACTACCACAAACTATATGAGAGTGGGTTATTGTTCCAGGTCAAGTCAGGTAGTCCAGTGTTTTTACCCACAGTATCACTGGCACTTTTATACATGAATCAATCAGTCTTCAGCATATGGGAATAACCGCTCATGAATGCAGACAGTGACCAATCATTGAGCTGTGACCAGTACTGTCAGCTGCACAAAGTCTTAAACTAAACCTGCTGCTGTACTTACAATATTGTACTTAGAGCAGGTCATGGGTCAGTCTTTCAAATGGGTGCAATTTTTTAAAATAAATATTAAGAAGATTTCTGCATTCTTAATGTGAACTCACACGAGATGAAATCCACAAAAGTTATACCAGGGATGAGGATCTTATCTTGGTCAATGGGCAGGCATGTCTCCCTGTTTCTTTAACAGCGGGCACAGCATAACTGGCTCCTAGCTTTATTTGCTATAAAAGCTGAAGTAATTCCTTACCGAAAAAGCAAAAGGTTCTCGAGTTCACCTACCAATCTAGGTTGCCAAGGATGGCATGAATTAGGGGCCAAAGAAAGGTCGTTATTTGAGCTCCACCTGAAATGGCTCCTTTTTCTATAAAGTCACTGTCAACACCAAAACAGGAGGTAGCAGTACTTTAAGAACTTTTACATACAGTAAAATTCAGGAGACATCTGAACACCTTTGGTGCATGGGTAGGCAACCTGGGCACTGCAGCTCTGGTGAAACTACAAATTCTATCAGGTCTTTGCCTCTGGGAGTCATGCCTGTGCTGTCAGTCTTGCAATGCTTTATGGGACTTGTAGTTCTACAAAAGCTGGAGTGCCCAGGTTGCCTGCCACCACTTTAGTGCATTCAATTTTGTTTGTAAATCATAATCATGCCACATGTCATGCTTTTCTGAACTGACATTTCCGATTTCTTTTTATAGCTGTACAAAAGGGTTGTATATGTTACATCTCTTAAAGCGAAACTAAATGCTGCAAAATACAAATGCTAGCAGGTAGAACTTTGCATGTCTCTACTACAAAAAACACCTTAGGCCCTGTTCACACCTGGGCGGTTCAGTTGCGCGGATTTTTCCACGCTGAACCACGAACAGTCAAACACATTTATTCTTATGGGACCCATTCACGCAAATGTGCGCAATGGCGAGTTTCAATCCGCCTGCCGCCCAAAGTGCTCTACCTGAGCTACCTTTCCAGCGCTGATCAGTACGTTTTCCATATAGATTTCAATGGAAACCCGCTGATCAGCACGTTTTGGGGCGTTTGTGTTTCAGCACTGAAAAGGAAAAGAAAAAAATATAAATAAAAATCGCACTAAACCGCTACCGCCCTGGTGTGAATGGGGCCTTAGTCTGTTCCCAGCAATTTCTTACACTGCCTGCAGCATATGCATAGTGCAGTGTACACACCTGGCATTTGTAAGACAGGAGGTGGAACTGCGTAACAGCAGCAATCATGGGGAGGATTGTATCATCAGTGGGAGCTTAATGGCCTAAAAGAGAAGACGTTGGAACCCGAGGAAGTGGAGGAGAATATGGCAGCAGGGGATCGCAGAGCTGTCAACACTGAAGATGGACATACCCAAAAGTAAGTCTGCCATGTGTGAATACCTGCACATTATGGCAACTGCTACCTACAGTTGACCACACTACAGCTGAGCGTTAACTGTCTTTTTTAATGAAATTTATATACATTTGAGACAAAGATTTTCTTCTGAGCCTATTCCTTTGAATAGACCTCAAAATGTATCATGTAGCTTTCATATTACAGAATGGTTTCACAAGCTATGGCATACGCAGCAGATAAATTGCTCAACACTTACCTCTTTCCTTTGGTGATATGTCTCCCCTACTTTAATATGCGCTACCAAGCTGCCACCTGTCCGAGGATCCAAAATATGAACAACAGTTGCCTTGAGGTCATAGATGTTGGTTGCTTCATCCTTGTCATCCTCTGGTTGATTTGGCTGAGGGACACACACACAGGTTTGTATATTGTAAATAAATGAATCTTAAACAAAAAAAGGACAAGCTTACCCAAGTGATTTAGGTAGAGGGTACAGTATAGAAAGTAGGGACTACACCCAGGACTATATTTGCCATAAGGCACTTTTGGGCCAGTACCAAGAACAGCATGGTTAGATGGCACAGTACCAAACCTAAATATTTACAAAGGTTAATAACTAATCTTTATTTTTGTTAAATATCTGACTAAATTCAAGGGAGGCAGGAGGACAGCGAGAGTTATGGGACTAAGAAAGCACCCTAAAAATAACAACAAAATACCATTTTGCCTTAAATTCCTCCTGAAAAAAAATAAATAGCTGTGCACTTCCTGGCACATGGGTGTGCCCAGTGGCGTAACAACCGGGGGGCAGGGGGGCACTTGCCCCGGGCGCAGGACTGAGGGGGGGCGCCGTCACGACCCCCGCTAAATGAAGCCCCTGGCTCCCTTTCTCTGCCACATTCACCCGGCTGTCATCGGGCGGCCGCTCGCTCCTCCGAGGCCACTG